TTATATTTCGATTGTTGGTAATTATATCAAATTTCTACTATATAATAATTTTCTATATTTTCTTCCCCACTTCCTCAGCGTAGTATCCACTTTGAGTGTCAGCGCACAATGAACTCATCTTGCTAATTAGGCCGCAGGCAATTAAGCGCCCCTTTTTGGGCGCTGTCAATCATCAAGCCGTTTAAATAATAAATCACTTTAAAATTAGTTTGCGCAAGTTGCGCAAGTTGAACGACGACAAATTAGTAAAAGTTAATTAAAACTATTTAAATTGCAAATTATTTTAACATTTTTCGCACACACACACACACACATACACCCATTTCGACATGAAAAAGCAGACAAAGAACGCCGTAGATGTCATGTAAAAACGTTGGAACATAGCTCACGCATACTAAAGACCGCAGAGTTGGAAACACCTTGAAAGAGCTCAAACCCACGCCATAGACTTTCACACCCACACCCACACACACATACACACACACACACACACACACGAGTACGTTCATGGCTTTTCCTTTTCACGGAATACTAAAATGGGGGAAATTAAAAAAAGAGCGCACCGTTGCTGTACTCGTTTATATAGATGAATGTATATATGTATGTATTTCTGTATATATGAGTGAATGTGTGTATGTATGTGTGTCTGTTTCCACCAAGTATGTACAAAAAATGTCAAGTTGTGTGCACACACTGACTGGATGGCTGGCAGGTACTCATTTCGTCCGTCCAACAGTCAGTCGGTCGCCTCAGACTGGGCGTCGGGGCGTATACGCGTGGCGCAACAATTTGCATATAAAAAGGGTTGTTAGACTTTAAATAGCGGCCTCTCCTATTATCTGCATTAGGGTAGATATGGCGCGCATTAAGATAATGTACTTACAGCTACGTTTATACTGGCATACTGGGTAAAGGGGGTGGGGGAGGTGGGTGGCTGTCACCTACGCAAAGTTAATTTATGCGGGTGTGCATCCGACTCTACGCACATACATATCCGCATCTCTATGTGTGTGTGTGTGTGTGTGTGTGTGTGTTTATGTCTCCTCCATAGGAAACATATTGAAAATTTAATTAAAAAGGAAATGCTTAAGAGCACGTAACCTGACTTAGTTAAAAAAAAGAAGCTAATTGAAACCAAATTTGCAGACCTGACTTTTCTCCCTGCCAATGCCACACATACCACCACACATGCCACCTGAAATTCAAAAGTTTGATAAGAGTAGATTAGCTTCATTGTTAAATGTTCAAGTATATTTTAGCTTTCACACACCAAGCCATATTCTTTGACTTATTTCTAATTCTGGCTTTATTTTGTTTCATTTGGAAATTTATAAAAGTTGTTTGCTGCCTCTGCCACAGCACTTTTGAAACAATATGCAATGTTATTCCTAATATAAATAGCAACAAAAAGTGGTCATAAGGAAACCGCACAGCCCGAAAAGCAACCAGCCACGCTTGGCAAAATTGTTTTTGCTGCATTGGCAGGCGAGATGCGTCGGGAACAGAAATAGCTCGATTGAAATACCTGCCCCATTTCGCATCCCTTGCCTGGCTGCATACTGTGCGTTATTCGCTTGTGCGGAGAATGAAGCACATAGCTGCTGATATGCGGCAAGCACATGAATTCCTTGAAGCTTGCTCTTTGCTCCTAGCCGTCTAAATATTTACCTAGAAACCCTCGGCCTGTATCTGATGCTTTTATTAACCCCCTTGCAAGCCGATTTCACAGAGATTCAACGTCATCATTTAAATTAGAGCCAGTCTTAGTTAAACGGCCCATTCAACCAAAACAGATGTGTATGTGTGTGTGTTGTTTATGTGTGTGTGTTTGTGTGTGCCGCATTTTCTCTCAGCACATTCAAAGTTTGACATTCGAAATTAATGAGCACTTAAGCGCACCCATAACACATTTATTTTGTAACTTGTGTGTGCTGATGACGCTCTTAGACTTTGAGTAACTGGCTTCTGTTGTGTATGTATAGAATAAGCTTCTCAAAACTGAAATACAACATAAAGCAAGAAGATTAACTACACAAGGGACAAATATATATCAAATATAAAAAAGTGGTAATCGCAGAATGTTCTAATGTTTCACTAATTGCATTTATAGTAATTTGATCCAAACTTTTGTGTAGTTTAAAAGCCAAGCGAGTAAGACTAGAAATACATATACAAATATTTTGTAATATTTGTAAATTTATCTCGTACAAATCAATCTTGATACAAAACTTTAAGTTTTGTGGTAAATATCAAATGACTTTAAATGACTTTCTGACATTGCTGGCGATCCGCAAGCAGCCGTCAAACCACCAACTATCAGTTTGAGAGTAGTCAGCCGATTGGCTGGAGGCAAATGTCAAGCAGGAAATTATGGGAGGGCCTCGGGGAACAGCAGACAAAACAAACAGGCAAAAAGTTAATTGTATGAAATCAACACACTTAAAGTCAACAACACCAACAAATGGCAGCAAATAGGTTGAGCATGTTGACAACAGTCAAGCCAATATTAGGGCCAAAAGCAAACCGAAACCTTAGCCACAGTCCCAGACCCAGTCTCAGTCTCCGCCTCTGTCTCAGTAGCAAATGTCGGCAGTGATAGCAAACCCAGCCAAGTCTGGGCGGGCAGTCAGGCTGAAGTACATCGCACAGGATTGGAGGGGGGGTGAACGGGGTGTTGCGTTGAGAAGCCAACAAGGAGAAACAGCAACAAAAAGGAGCGTAACTAACGGCAGCTTATAAGCCACAGCATCAGCATCAGTCGTGGCAAAATACAAGTAAGAAGTACAAGTCGTACGTTGCCGCCAAAAGGAGTAAAAATGATGAAGCAGCCACAGCTTGAGCTTCGGTGCACATGAAAAAGATAAAACTGCTCGAGGTGTAGGTGAGCTAAATGCTTACAAGTGCAACGGCGGGACGGCGGGACGGCGGGCAGAGTTCACGTTTTCGACGCTTCAACTTAAGTAGTTGAAGTAGGGTAAATGTTGTTGAGTTATATGCCCAACGCCCCCACGCCCCCACTTTACCAACCGCGAGAGACAGAGACAGAGATAGGGACAAAGTCAGAGTCACAGATACAAATACAGATACAGACACAGAAATACCTTGAGAGTCTGCCGTTTTGCCCTGGGAAACGAGAAAAGTCGTTCGAAAATGCTTGAGAAAATCGTGTTAAATCGCGCTCAAGTGCTAAAGTAATAAGCACTTTTAATAAATAAAGGTGAATTGTTGTCGGAGAGTCAAAGAACGAAATGTGGCTAACAGACAGACATAAACACACAACAGACACACAACTATCAGCACAAACGACATCGAACAACAGCCGAATACATATGTATGCCTCCGTACTCATGTATCTCAATTTGAGTCCAACAGCTTTCAAGTATACCAATTTTGTATACTCTAATGACTCAAATGTGCTCTCTGGGGCACATTAAAGCTTTAATAAAATATCTCAACAAGTATTTGATCAATTTCAATTTCAGGGTCTTGCAGCAATGTCGGCATGTACAATCTCAGCTACTAAATGCAAATCAAATTTATATTAAATTTTAAGTAGCATCCAGCTTATTTGCTGGCTTATGTATGTGATAGAGCCATGTGAGTACGTTATAAATAAATATGTTTTTGCCTCTTACTGGAAATCACACTTTGGCATACATAACATATTGCGTTGCTCATTTGTATTTGTATGCCACTTACATGTGCAAACAACAGTATACTCACTTAAAGGCATAATTAAAATATATTCGCATGATAAATGCTTTAACGTATAAATTAAAATTAATATTAAATACAGAAAACACATTTCTTGCTCCGGAAGTTCATATGAATGAAAACGTTGGACAAGCACGCAGGACTACTATTAAATTAAGAGTACAGTGACAACTGCATTAACTCTGCAATTAACACTAATTATGTATGTCCGTCATGTAGAATGTTGAATAAATATTAAAAATATTTATGAATAATATAGATAATCAGTACGCGATTCACATAATCAGACTGAAAAAGTCGAGGCTCGCGCTTAAAGATTATTATTAAAAGCTGAAATAATGCGTCATGTTATAATGACATTGGTTAACAATTTAACGAGATACATTTATCGACAGCTCGCTGGTATCAGCATTCTTTGTTTTCGGCTATAATGAAAATTAATTAAAACACAATGATTAAATTTCTGCGTCAATGTCAGCCATCGGAAAATGATGTTCCATTGACGTAATATACAAAATAAAAAGAATAATAATAAAATCACTCCTTATGCATAAGTATAAGCTGCTTTATATAAGCTGAAAAAACGCCTGGCTTGGAGCTTAGTTTCTGTGCAATTTAATTAAGAATGCCAGTTCTTTATTAACGCCCAATGTTATTGCATTAAAAAGAGTCCACATTGATTGAGATGCATAACAAAATTGCTTTTATGCAAATCTTTGTAGTTAAGTTGACTCAGTACTACAGATGGAAAGATTTTCTTATTCGTCGTTTAATAATAAATTGTTGCTTCAGTATAATATTATTTAAATGCCATAAATATGACATTTTTTCTTATATAAATCAGCATAATCAATTGTTCGTTCAGATTGTGCTGCTTAAGCTTTGTATGAAATATATATTTGATCTGAAAAGAAAATAATGCGAAGCACTGCCAAAAATCAGAAATTTAAACAAACAAGACAGCTCTTGTCGAAAGCAGGCAAAAATATAGCTCAAAAGAAATTTCATTATCCACATCACGAACACTTATAGTAATATTTATATTTATGTGAATATGTTTTTTTTTTTGTTTTTTTGATTTATGAAGTTATGCCAGTCGATAATTCTGAGCAAGAACACTCTTAATTGATAATAAAAATAAGCTAATTGTTATTACTCATATTGTGCATAGGTCCGATAATAATCCAAACGCTGTTTAAGAGCAGTTCGTAAAAGTATTTATTGGCAAATGTGTATACAGATGTGTACATATGTATGTATTTATGTATGTATATATATATGTATGTATGTGCGCTTCCTCTAATATACAAAACTCATGCCGTTAATCGTACTTAGACCCAGACTTTGTGCTGCCGCTGCTGCTCCACTTGGCTGACAGCCAGCCACCCAGGCAACTAGGCAATTGTTCTTAATGTTGTTGTTGTTGCTGTTGTTGTTGTTGTTATTGTTATTGTTATCCCAACCGCGCTGGACAGAGACAGGCGACAAATTGCCTGTTCCCGCGTCGAAAATTAAAACTCGTAGGCCTATGGATTACAATGTGGATTTTTGTTTGGGCGGATATGGGCAACAAGAACATATAAAAGAAACGAAAAATCGTAAAAAGATATTTTTTGTTAAAGTAGATGGGAAAAACTGGATAAAACAGTGAATAAAAACCGAGTCTAAATATAATAATAATAATAATATGAGAAAAAAGGGTCAACATAAATGGCTCGGACTCTGCTAGTAAATAAAAAGCCAACGAGGGCAAATAAAATTATTTAACAAGCTTTGAAATAAACTTTACACTCACCCATTGTACTTTAACACGCAGCGTGTCTATATAGTTTTTTATTATTATTATTATTTTATTTTTATTATTGGGCCATTTCGCAGTTCATTTGAGTTAAATGTTTGGGGTCACCGGAAATAAATAAATGCGACAATAAAAAAATCGTGCTGTAAAATCCGTAAGTTCATGGGTACAAACATGAAGCGTGTGTTTATCATGATTTTACACCACTTGGCGAATGTAATACTTTTATTTTTATTTCAAGTAATATTAGTTTAGCGATAAATCAAATCCAAGATACACTTCCATAGAAACCACAAAAATTACTTGGCATTCTTTATACTCTTATAAAAGTTTATTACAACATTCCAAAATATATATTTTTTATTTAGCTGCAGATTTACATAAGTAATGGTTGTGGAAAATGTATCCGTTTGACTATATGTGATTCTTAAAGGAAGATGTGACCAATTACACAATAAGAATAATTGTATTGCATGTTTAATGCCAATAACTACTCATCAACCAACAATATTGCTTATTTGGCGCTGTAAATATTTCCATCAGATATTTCAAAAAATAAACAGCATTTTCTCCACACACATCTGAGTGCATCAACACACAAAACAAAATAAAGGACCACAAGACACGAAGTAGTGAATGCACGTGATGCACTCAGTGGCACTTAAACGTGTTGCATAATTCAAGCCGCATTTATTCAGAGCCATTGCACTGAGCAAGCAGCCTCGAAACGGAAACGGAAGTGTAAAAGGACACAGCCAAGCAATGGAAAGCATCGTTTGATGAGTCCAAGGATGAGCCCTCAGCATATGAGTTTCCTTCTTCCATCTGCTTACCAGCTTTATATTGAGGCCGTCTGAGTATAAAAGTAAGCAGCGCGAGCATTTCAAAAGGGGTATTGGATATGAATATGGGATATGGGATATAGCCTCCATCTTGCTGCCATTTATGATCCACTTTGCTTGTGCTATGCCTATGCACACTTAAGGGTAGGAAAAAGTCAGAGTGTCGCCGCTTATGCAAAACTAAATTATGATAATCTCCAAAGTGTACCCTGTCACAGGGCGACGTGTATTATAAAGTATGTATATGTACTTACTTACTTAGGCGCGTCTGTGTGTTGTACTATGTATAAATATGTGCGCTTGATCCATATCAGTATCATATCATATCGCATTAGGGCTTATCATATCCACGAGCTTACTCAGATATATTGTAATAAAAAGGAATTTACATACACAACTACATATGCATATATGTATGCATGTATGTATGGATGTACTTGCCATTCTTTCGTACGCAAAGAGTATCTAGCATCTGGTAGATGGTAGACATGTGTAAGTTTTTATTGTGTAAACACTACACGATGCCCATTTTGCAAGATGAGCCTCATTATTATCATATGCTTACTACAGATTACACGGGACAAAAGCATATCAAATATAATGGTATAGGTGAAGCAATATTTTGTTCGTTACCAATTAAATTTATTTTACATAATTTTCAATCACAGTTACATACTACAGATTTATTACTTTACACTAACCCGAATATATATTTATTAGCAATCATTGTCTACACAACACTACCCCAAATATTTCTCGCAATGCATTCTGCAAAGATGTTGCATGTGTGTGTATCTCTGTGTGTGTGTATGTGTGTGAATGCGAGTACGGTTGTGTGTGTTGCTATTGTGGATGCGCTTCGCGCTGTTTACACTTCCTATGTCTACATTTTGCAGATTTCATATACGTCTACATTGAATGTAAGAGTATGTGTACACACACACACACAAACACACACACACTCATATATATATATATATATATATATATATATATATATATATATGTGTGTGTGCAAACTCTTACATATGTATTGTATGTATGTATGTCTGTATGCATGTACATATGTATATGTATGTACATAAGTTAACTAGCTAAACTTGAGATGTTGATGTTTTCGGTTTTCGGTTCTTTGTAGGCGTTGTGCGAGCGCTTAACATTTATGGCACAAGTTTCTTAAATCCAGCACCTTCTTGGCCAAGTTTGAGCTCTTCATAAATTGAGGGATTTACTTCATTGCACTGCGTGTTGCTAAGCGGGTTGTGAAAATGATGCGAGGCATCCGTGGGACCGCGATGCCCATTTCGATGATGCTGATGCTGATGCTGATGCTGTTGCCGGCTGCCATTCCCGGTGACTGTTACTGTGGTCCCCGTGTCTGGCCCTGTCGCTGCTGCTGTCGTCGATGTGGATGTCGTCATTGTGGCTGCAATGCCATTGTGATTGTGGCTATTGCTGCCATTCTGTGCCCCGACACAGCTGCCAGTGCTGCTGCTGCTGCCAAGCGTGTGATTGTTGCCATTCTGTGTTGTGATAGCCGACGTCACAGTAGGTAGCTTTAATTTGTATGTATGTGTGTATTCGCGTATATTTATGCGTGTAGTTCAATTGGAAAACAACAAAAGTCGACAGATAGACAAAGAGAGAAAGACAGAGAGAGAAAGAGAGAGAGAGTGAGAGAGAGAGAGAGAGAGAGAGAAACAAACACATTGCAGTTATAACATTAGAGTTTATATATTTTCACGTAAATATATGCAAGAAAAAGCTTTACAGCTGGCTTAGGCACAGATTATAGTTAATACACTCAGAATTTAATATGTCCGAGTTACAAAAAAAAACCGCAATACTAGCACAAAAATGTATCGAAAATGTGAAAGCAAGCAAAATTGTAAAGACGTAGTTATTCAATGTAATAGTTTAGATATATAAATAAAACTTGCAATCTTAATTTAAACGATGTTTTATCGTTTTTCTAAATTCTGGGAAATATTTTTTCTGAGTGTATAATTAATATGCATTATACACACCTGTACCTGCTCCAGACCACGGGTATACGTTGGATTCTCGAAAGCCACATTGCCATTGAGAGCCTTGCCATGTTGACAGCGATGGCGGCGATAGAACACAATAGCCGCTGCCGCCAAGAGTATGGCCAGAATGCTTGCCACAATGCCGCTGATTGTGCCGACGGCACTGGAGTAACTGCTGGTCGCTGAGGTCACATGCTGGTCGCCCAGAGTGAATCTAATCGGATCGGTAAGTACACTGGCACCTGCGAGACAAGTCTGCAAATTAAGCCGAGACACAGGGCAAACAATCGATTGCATGTTGGAATAGTTCACCCACCGTATGTGTTGCCAGCTTTTACAACCAGCTCGTATAGCACGTCCTTCTTCAGGCCATTAATGCTTATTGTTGTGTCCTTTACGTCGATGCGTTGAATCTCCAGTGCGCCGATGTTATTATTGTTGTTACTGTTGTGGATGTTGCCCATACTTGTTGCATTATTCATAGTGGCTTGTGTATCCATAGCCGGGTCCATCGAAGATTCGTTTGGCTGCGCCGTCGACGATGGCGGCAGTATGGCGGCCTCATGGTAATATATTCTATAGCCGTCGACGGCATTTGGATTCTTTGTTGGAGCATCCCATCTGTAATGAAATAGTTTTCAGACCGTGTGCATGGCGCCATATTATGAGTAGTAATATTGTTGCAGGCGCAAAACTTGTCTGGAATTTTAATAAATTTAATGCGAATGCTGGCATACTGAAACTGAACCAAACTGAACTGTACTGGACTGAACAGAGCTGAATAGAGCTGAGCTGAGCTGAGCTGGACCCCATCATTCGTCACCCACAAGAAGCAGCCTAACCACCCAAACAAACCCACACACGCACCCACCCTGCCAGCGAGCGCACCATACCATTATCAAACATTTGCTGTGCACAGCGAACCAATCCGAGTTTTGTGTGCGCAACCTTTGACGTTGACTAAGTGTATTAAAGTGAGATAAAAATCTCTGCTTTAATGGACTTTGCGGTCTATTAGTGCAGTCAGCAGTAGCAGCAGCCGCAGCAGCAGCAGCAGCAGACACGCACGGACTCACTGCGGAGACTTCTCTTAACACACACACACACATGGAATGGATATATAGGATAATGAATGTATTGGCTTGTGAGCAAAATGGATGAGTTCACTTCCCGAGCGGGGCAATGAAAATGAGTTTTAGGGGCTTTTGTTGGGGAACGCATCGTTGGGCCGGAAATAGTTAAGAGATTAAATTTGATACGTTTAAATGAAATGAGAAATCTGTGTGTATAAATGACCCACTTACTTAATGTTCACCTCGCTGTCCGACATCACGTTCACCACAATATTCTCGGGCGGGCCGGGCAATCGATCACGGTTCTTCTCAAAGCAACCGATGATTGTCCGGGCATACTGCAGACTACAGATCTCCTTTGAGCGCACCGATTCACCGCGACACCAATTTAAGCATTTACGCGGCACTTGCTCATCGGCGCAACAGGAACGATGATCGGATCCATCCGCCGCACACTTCATCAACTTATCAAAGTCGACAATGCACTCGGGTCGATTGTCAATGGCATCGAAGTCCACGTAATAAGTGCAGGCATCGCGACAAGTCATCGACACATTCTGCTCCGCACAACATTGCGAGACATTGCGGCTTAGATTCGGAGTGTTGCGTATACGCACCGAGACCGGTGTCGTCGATGAACCGAATGGATTCTCAGCATGGCAGAAATAGTCACCCACATCGTTCGCTTGCAGCTTACTAATCCGCAGCGACATTGTATAGATCGTGGAGACATTCGTTACGGAAACATAGTAGTTGCCACCTTGCGGCACCGGCACGCGTCCGTCGTGATCCCGCCAGAAAATGGTCTTGGGTGGCGGTTTGGAGTCCACCATGCACTTCAACTCAACCTCATCGCCGACTGAAGCGACCGTTATGCCAGCCGCTTGAATTTTCGGTGGATCTATAGAGACAGGCAGAAAGGAAGAGAGAGGGAGAGAGAGAGGGAAGGAGTCATCGGGAGTGGTCTATAAATAATGTGGCTTAATGTCATTTTTATAACTTACAGCAGATATTGACGCGTCTGGTCGCCTGCATGGGTACACCATATCCGTTGTCCGCATAGCACGATACGTGCTCCATATCCGCAGAGACATTATGTATCACCGTCACCATATGCCGCGAGGTATCCTGTCGCACCAGATGGCCACCAACGTACAGGGATATTGTGGGCGCCGGATTGCCCAGGGCCAGACACAGAATTGTCATTGAACCACCCTCGGGTATATTGTCAGCCGGATGCACTGTTGGCGGCTACCAATCAAAATGTATTCAATTGTATTATTATTTTTGTTTTAACAACATATTACGACACAGAGAAAAACATTTGCCTTAAAGCTACAGTTCAACTTTAAGTGCAACACTTTTTGTTTTCACTGCTATAGTAAATGCAATTAGAGTTTGAAATAAATTACATCCACAAATGCTGGCAAGGCCGGATCCGTCCACGCCACAAGCGTCTCTGAGGGCAGGGATGTGGCTCGCTCACCCACCGCCTCCACATAGAGCACATGCTGGGAGCTGGGCTTTAGATTTGTCATGCGTAGCCAGGCTAATTTCGTCTCGATTTTGGTAAAGCCATCGGAGTTCATTGTCTTGTGATAGACTCTGCAATAACCGGGGCTTAGTGACACATAATCTCTAAGAATTTAATGTAATCTGCCGCTCACCTATAGGTAATGCGCTCGTGAGGATGCGAATACTCTGATGGCTGCCAAGTGACCTGCATCCAGGTGGCACTGTGCGTGAGTACGGTCAGCGAATGGGGCGGCGAGGGTGCTCCCCATGTACTATTTAGATATTGTGCTGCGAAGATATCAAATCAAATTAACAGCAAGTTCAACAGCAACGACAACGACATCAACGACAACAACTAATTGCAGCACATCTGTCGACATTGACTGTCCAAGTTGGAATTGACCCGAAATGTAATGACTGCATTGACTTACCTTTTTCGCCAGCACTCGTCGTATTCAGCAGCAACATGGACGCCGGCAACGATGTGCCAAATTTTCCACGAGACACAACCATAATGCGGTATAAGGCATTCTCTTCCAAATTTGTCAAATCGATACTGGTGTCATTGGTGGTCAATTCCTACGAGTACAATTTCGTAGCATGTATAAGCAAATATTTATATACAAACAAGTACAAGCATTACACCACATCCACCGACTACAAAATATTCTGTCTAATATTATATTTAAAGGCGACAACTGATATTCAACTAGATTTGATAAAACAAACTGATTTATAGTAGTAGTAATATAGTACTTAGTTTTATAACAACTTTCTTACAGTGTCTTTCGAGTTTATCTTATTATAATGTAAGGAAATCTATGATGATGAATTTAAACTGCTAATAAAGCTGGTCTAAATAGTTGGATACATACATACACATAAAAAGACTGTATCTTTTGCTTCAAATTTAAAACATATTTTATTTTGATTTATTGGGTCTGATTTTGCAAATAAATAACAAATTTAACTTTTAATTAATATTTGTTTAATTTACGTATTTTTCTGTGGACTGTCGACTGATATTACGACAAATACCATTGAATAAATAAATATAGGGTATTTAGCTAATATAAAAGCGTCAACATGCAAGGAGTCAGAATATGTTAACACTGCATTCTGCATTGTGTGGCTGCGGCTGTGACTGCGGTTTGGCTTGATTTCGCTTGATTTCGCTTAGAGACATGTTTTCATGTTTAGTACTTTTTGTAATTGCCGTGAAGTAGCACAATTTGCGGTATTTAGCCACAATATGACACCAACATGGCAGACACTAACGTGGCGAACATTGCGATTCTCGCTGTTGAGCTCTGGCGCCATATTGTTTTAGGAGTCGTCGCCAAATTTGACAGCTATATCATGCACACATATATCATTTACAATTTATACCCACATAAAACAATGTTTATAGCATTATCTTGTCAATGCAGCAACTGACAATTGGGATACCTAATACACATAAACATAGAAGTTATACAACAAACAATACGCTGATACAGATCAGCGAAAACCCTTCATAAGTCAGCTAGCATTGTTAAATTGGTTGATTATATTTCAGTTGTAGCAGCTTTGTCCTATGGGCCATTAATTACAATTTTAGTCAAAAGCTTTTGCTGCTTTACAATGTGGTCTGCGGTGTGTCAATGTAATGGGTATTATCCATTTAATATACCCTTACCAATATCAAATGCAATCTGGGCATTATTTAACACAAATTGTCTATATTTATATGATACTTTAATGAGTTCTTGACTCATTAGCTATAATTTTGTGTCGTGACTCTTTGTTCACAATAACTACGAAAAATATATAGTATGCCTCTTTATCTTGAATTACAGTCTTTATAATTAATATTAATAATCACATTACAATAGAGTTGCAATTGCGATGTCATTTTAAATATATACGTATATATATATATATATATATATATACATATGTGTGTGTATCTGTAGAGCAATAATTGCGATATCCCATTATTGGAATGTGCCACAGTTGTGGCCCATGATGAGGGTCATCTTGAGCGAGACATGCCCAAATGAATAATTAATATGGCCACAAACACGTTCGTTGTTGGTCGCTAGTTGAGTTCAGTTGAGTTGAACAGGACCCCACTGACTGCAGTCCTTGTTGGCAGTTGCCAAACAGGACGGCAACTGTTTAAGCAAATAAATATTCAAGGGGCACAGCGCTGTGTGAAATAGTGTGGAAACCAACGCTCAGCAAATAGTTTTTGCACTTTTTGCAACTATTCAACTGGCCAGGTGCTTCACTTTTGGTATTTATTTTGCCAAAAATCACAAATTCTCTTTCCCAACGCATTTTTCAATGTATCAAATTGTTAAAAGTTAATAGTGTGCCGAATTTTTATTATTTTAGTCTTGCAAGCATATTAAAAAGTTTTTATGACCATCATTCTGGACATTCTGGTATAAGCCAACAATCTGAAAAAAGCACTAGCATGCAGTTGTCAACTAAAAGCGGTAAAAGTTACGTTCGCAAAAGTCAAGTTCATCCCCACCCCAGCCACCCCTTCTACGGCCATTCCGGACGGTCGTTGTACTTGCCAGGCACCGGACAGCAGGACAGCATTTGCGGATGCTGGTGACACGATTCTGGCGCAGACTGCCGTCGAATAGAAATTACCAAATTATTGGCACTGATTCAATCAGGCACGACGGCAGCCAGGACAGGAAATGACAATGGCACCCTGGGGAGTTTACGAAATTTTAGATTCTTTCAGTAAGACCAGCCATGATTTGACGGCACTCTTTAATTGTTTTGACTTTGAGATGACTCCTTCCCTGTCCTGCCAATCATTCAATAAACAACGCAAGTCAACAAAAGCTGGTTTAAAAAACAAATCCATCTAAATAGAGTAAAACGGAGGGAAAAATATTGAAAAATGTTGTATTTGACCATTCGGTTTTCAAATAGTATTGAGTAATCGTCGTGAGCATTATTGAAATAATTAAATAAGCATTTTTGAAAATTATCCGACCAGAAACTCAATTCCAAAGCTCTGCGGCACAAAAAGAGTTTAATTAAACTTTTATCCAATAAAAAGCTTCAAAGCACGAGCGGAAAATCGAATAGTATATTTTGCTTTGTAGCTGCAAATATTGAAACTAAGGGTTACAGTATTTCTGACACGTTCGAAAGCAATTAAGTTTTTTGTAAAAGCAATACCCGAGGCCATATGGCAACTTCACGTGCCAATAATGCTCATGACTTAACAAAGAGTTTTTGATACAATAACATGTACACACATTGCGTATATATACTATATTTTTATTTATTTTATTTTTTTTTTTAATAATACTAGGACAGCAAAAGCAACCAAAAAGCCTGAAGCCGATGCACCGAGACGCATTTAAACCAATTGACACCAGGCGGTCAAACGAAAAAAATAAAATAAGCAGAGCCAACAGCTCTGCAACAGCTGAGTCCGCTTGACTAAGCCAACAAAACCAAAGTGTACAAGCGAATGAATTTTGAGCAGAAAAACAGAAGAAGAAAAAACTAGTAATAAATGCCCGACTAGGCGATACTTTGTAGCTGGCATTAACATGGCTATAAAGACTAAAGACATGCATTTCTCAGCCTTGATCTGGTACATGTATATGCATATATCAGTTCTCTCAGATGGTAAAGCCTTTGGCATCGACTCGCCTAATTAAGTTTATCAAGAATAAATCAATTGCGTGGGTTTCTCAGTTAACACTTGTGTTAGTTGGTCGCAGATCATTAAATTTGCAGCGCATTGAAACACCTAAATCCAAAATTCATTAAATTTTGTGGGATCAGAAAGGTATGATATGCCAATAACTTAGGTAGACGTTGATATATTTAACGATATTTCTTAGGCGCTTAAAAAATAAGCTTGATCTAGTATTTCCATATCAACAAATCAGTTTCTCAGCTGTTATAGTCTTCTACATTGACGCTGCTGATTATTTTTATGAAGACAAAAATAAATTTGATGTCTAAGTTTGAATAACCTTTCAGCAAATTTAAAATGTTTACGGGGTATAACAACAACATTGGCAAATACGAATGTGGCAGCATGCTGTTAAGCGCTTCTCCAATATCGATTCGATTGGTGTCTAGTGTTGGGTGCTGACTGTTGGCTGTTGGCTGCTGGCTGCTGGCTGCTGGCTCTGGACTACTATGTGCTTGTGGCACCATGGGCAGGTCACCGTCGACACTGCCGTCACTATGGCCACGCCACATTGAAAACATTTTGCGCGTCACAACAACAACAACAACAACAACAAACGGCAGCAACAACAACAACGACACGCGACAAACATTTGCCAGTTGTTTGTTTTGTATTTTTCTTTTCTTTTTTTTTTGTTTTTTGTTGTTTGCTTGTTGTTTTTCATTTTTAGCATTTGCAAGTTTTTGAGGCCAGTAACTCCGTTGATGGCCATGGCTGATGTTGCTGGCGCAGGTGTAGTTGCTGCTGCGCTTTGATGTGTGACAACAACAGTAGTCAATAGTCAATAGTTGCTGGTGTTGTAGCTGCAACAATGCCAATGGCAATTTATATGTATATTAAACCAACTTAGGCTGCGTTCGTTGTTCCTTTTTTAGCCAGTTTTTGGTGTGAATACGATACTATTTTGCCGAGTTTTTGGTTTATGGTCACGTTTGCGATACGACATTCAACATTGGACATTCGACAGCAATGAGCCATGACAACCCTTCAAACAGTAGTCAAAACTTTAAGTTATGCCCAGGCACGTGCCTCCGCCTGGCCTACGGATTTTGTCGTATCTATTTGGTAAGTGCTTTATAATACTTGACTTTATGTTTACCTTTTATGTCGCTACATAAATCATGTTGGCACCGACCATCTTAAATATGCGTTTTCTTAGGGCAGTTTGGAATTAATTAAGTGCTTGTTCAGCACGCATAAATATTGACAGATATCTTAAGTTCGTATCCCACTTAATTCTGCTTATACCATCGCAGAGGCCACGATAATATACATATTAACTAGTTGCCATTTTATTAAATAAGTGTAGATAAGCTTCGGTGTGCCGAAGTTGGTTAATTCAATTTGCTTTTGTTTCATTTTAAACACATATGATGTACTCACATATTCCAATTTGGCAACTGTCTCGTACATGGTCATGTTATTGACTCGGCCATATTGAACGACAAATTCAATTCTATCATTAGCTTTATCAGCATCAGACACACTTGTAGAGTGCAACTGTGGCACAGACGATGACGATTCAGAAACGGTTGCAACATCACCAGCAACAACTCCTTCTGCCGCAGCCAATTCATCGCCAGTTGTCATGTCAGTGGGTATGGCAGATGGAGAGGCTTGATTGTTATCACCATTGGGTGGGGTCCATGCAACGCTTATGCTCGTACCAGTAACGGATGTGGCGTGCACATCTTCGGGTGGTCCTGGTATATTAATTGTGCCTGCAAAACAAGAAAATCGACACTGAGTTGAGTTGAGTTGTGTAAACGCAAATTTAATTGGCCAATATTGGTTTTGCTCTATCAATTTGTAAGTTAGGCAAAGGCCTTGCTTTGCAAATACTAACCGAATAAAACTGAACATTTACGGACAGCGCATTCAACAATAATTGTGTTGTTGCAGCCACAAAAGACACACACACAAGTATTACTCATTACTCACCTTCCTCAAAGCACTGCAAAATATTGCCAGCATATGATAAGCAATCGGGCACATTGGTTGGCAATGTCGATGAGGACGTCATGCCACCGCTTATAGTTGCTGCTGCAGATGACGCAGCTGCTGCCGCTGCTGTTGTCGATTTGGTGGTCAATGTAAGTGGCATGACGCCACGGCAAAGTGGCATGCATGCGTTTATTACACTCCGTCTATTGCAACACGGGCTATGGTCACGTCCACCGGCAGCACAGCGTGCCAATATGGCTAAGCATAATTAAAAAGGGGTTAATTAGAGTCACATTTGCATGAGTGGCACTTAACAGCAAGAAATTGTGGCTTTTAGCAGACATCTATTATTCAAGCTTGCTGCCTCAATTTATTGTTTTAGCAGGTTTACATACTAAGCGACCCTAATCTAAATTGCTTTCGATTTCATTAACAAATTAAGCAGCAAATTATTTAGCAACTTGTGTCAATTATAGATAACTTTGCAACAACACTAACAAAATCTTTATTAAACGACATTTAATTGTGTAACTATTTAGGGCTAAGAGGGTCCTCAACTGGCTGATGCTCCGTAATCAGGCTAGAAAATACCCTTAACCAGTTTGTATTAATTTAGGTAACGAAATCAACAGCCAGCTTTAATTAATTCCCTGGCAGAGATTTTCAATAAAATTCTCGTATCTCATATAAATAATCAAATCAATCAAATACGCAAAAAAAAGTTTCTGTTATACCATTTTCATACTTTATTTTCATCTTTTCTAATTGTAAGTCATGCCAAAATATATCCAAGTACCGAATGAATTGAATCTACTTATCCGCCCAACTCACGTGTTCCTTTTGGGATCAGAGCATAATCAAGCCCATTGTTTAAAACAGTTCCAGCTAAGTATACTCGTACTACTAAAATTACCAACAAAAAAATCAATTACGCTCAGACAAAAATCCGATTGGGATTACCCCTGTGCAAGTTGATTAATCTGACTGCTGGACTGACACTAATTAGTGTTTGCTACACAGATACATATGTGCATACATATGTGTAAGTATATGTGTGTATGTGTGCGTGTGTGTGTGTGTGTGTGTGTGTCATTAAAAGTGGGCTTAGAGATGTTACTCACGCATTTGGGCACGGCACGCCGGACCGAGATGCTCGATGTCCGACAATCGTATGTTGTATGTGCAGAGTGGAGCACATTGTGGCAGCAATCCAGATGCCTTGCAACACGTCGTCATGTTGTATTTGGTTGTGGTCCCTGTGGTCGCCTCAATGGGCAGCGTTCGACTAATCAGTCGTGGAGATGGCTCGCTCTTTCCATAGGCATTAATTGATACCACATAGAATTCGTAATAGATGTCCGGCTCCAGGCCTTCAAGGATGAGTGGCGGCTGACGCTGCAAAGTTAATTTAATTAGTCAGCCAAATCGTTCAACTAGTTGCCCATTCTCAAAGCACATGCCTTCTCCACAGTCAGATAGTCATCGCCAACGCCAAGACGACGGAACTTGACATGATATGTGGTCACAGTATCTGCGAGACGCTTGGGGTTATTCCAATCCAAAATGACAAAATTGTCCGTTTTTGCCACAGTTCGGAGCTTCGATGGAGGATCAGCTAGGACACCATAGCCTTGAAACAGGCAACTACTGTACTCGGACATGAAACGCAAGCATCTGTCGGATGAAACAGGAAACCAATTTCCAATTAGATACATCAAAACAAAAACTTTCTTCCAAGACTCTGCACTTAAATATACTATAAATTAAATAAAATAAATTATGGGAAAAAAATACGTTGTCATTTAAAGATCTCCCAATTCTGGCTTAAGTTTTTTCAGAGGTAAGTTTTGAATACATAGTTTTTTTTAGTTATTTACACCTCTCATTCCATACTTACTTAAACAAACTGAAGTCCAGGGAGGTCAGCTTCCCCGCACAGATGGGGAAACAAGCCGAGGGTATGCCACGGGCACGACAACAGGGCGTATGATCAATATTATTTGCCAAGCATGTGAAGGTGATGTTCGACCAGGGTGCACAGACCATCAGGTCCGGCAGTGTGGCCAGGTCCGTCTTCTGCGGATCACACATCTTATCCAAGCACAGCCGATGCGTCATCCCACTCGATTCACAGCAACTTCGTATGTCGGGCAACGAGGGCATCACCTGCTTGTCGGAACTACCCTCGTGGGACTCGGACACCGAAGCACTCGTATGGGTAAAGAAACGCAGACGCTCGTTGGGCAAACTTGAGCCATACTCATTGACAGCCGTTATGGTGACAGCGTACATGTTCAGCGGGATGAGATTGTCGACGATGAGAAATGTTTTATTTGCCGGCACATTGTAAAGCAATATTTGTTCATCTTTCTCATTCGATTGCTTGCCGCTTGCATCTGGTATTAGATGTCTGACCTCACCGCTCACCTCATCCTCGTCGAAGCTGTGCAATACCGTGAGGTTCACCACATAGTGTAAGACCTCTTCGGGTAGTTTTACTGGTGGTGCCCAGCTAATCCGCACGCTAGTCTCTCGCACATCGTCAATCATCACTATATTGGGTGTGCTGGGTATTAGCTGCACTCCCTTGAGAATACACTGGAGTCCACTAAGAGTGTGCTGCACACAGGAGACTCGAGTCTTCAGCTTGTCGGTGAATGGTGTGTATTCACCGCGACACATATCCTGGCACAGATCCGGTATTTGTTTCTCCACACAGCATGGCACATGATTACGGCCATCGGCCATGCATCGCACTATGCTCGGAAAGTCCCTTTCGCAGGCCTCGGGATCGATGCCCGTGGTACCGTCCAGAATATTGTGTACATTGCAAAAGCCCATGCACTGGGAGGAGACATTGGCACGCTCACAGCACTCGGTGAAATCATGGGTAAGCTGCGGCGGAGTTTGACTTGGTCGCCAGAAGCTGCGGTTGTCCTGCGCGTTGAGGGGCGGTGGTAAGAGGAATACATCACTAGATTCAGACGTTGCGGCATCTGTGTTATTGCTTTGAGCACCGGGAAGCTCCTTAACTGAATTGCAGTTAATTAAATTTAATTCAAATAAGAAAGAAAAACTGAAGGCTTGACAACTTACCTGTCAATATGTGAATGCTTCGCAATACGGGATCAGAGTTTAACTCACAGATATAGGCACCGGAATCACTTGCCTTCAGCGTCTTGATCAATAACACCCACACCTCTCCACCCGTTTCCAAATTACGTCCCTTGGGATCTGTTCACAAATTGTTAACTGCTTGCCGAGTATTTTCAATTATCAATTTCACTTACTTTCATCATGCAAAACTCGGACACGATGATCCTTTGTTACCCTCACAGTGCCTGCCGTTAATATTTCGTCACCCTTCTTCCATATCACGGTATTATTGCCCGAATTGTCAGACACTACGCATGTTAGCAGAGCGTCTTTGTTCTCGTATATCAGCGATGGTCCACCAGTTCCTAAAGCAACAATTATTATTAACAAAAATAATAAAAAATGAACAACTCAATTGTTAAAGTTAACCAGTGCCTAAATGTTTCCTCTGCCCATAGCTGAGCTATAAAATTAGACTTACCTATTGGCACACCTGAATAAACATTCGTTAATAATAGACATATTGTTATTATTTGCAGTACGAACAGCTTAAGCATTATTCCTTTTATTGCCTGTAAATAAAAGAGAATAAAGGAATGTTTAAAAACTTATCAACCAGTTAGTAACAATTATTACTGCATATTCAGGTCACAACGAGTGCCACTGGCATTTTATATAAGTATTATAAGCTTTTTCTGTTATCTTAATATTAGAAATACCTGGTAGCAACGTATATAAAAATAGAAATGTCAAAAATGCTGAAAATGCTGAAAATGGGTGAATAGCCACTGTACAATCAATAGTTTTCAATCAATTTTTACAACCTGTGAGATACATTTTGCTATTTGGTTGGGAGAGTAAAATCATCGCCGGTCACAAGCCCCTTTGGCCCGGACGTACACGCACAGCCGGATGCACCTGTCAACTGCCAACTAGCATTGCAAACAGCAATCGCGGACCCATGAACACACTGACATTGAAAACACAACCACTTGCAAGCAGCACCACTTTGTGGAGGTGGTGGTGTGGGTGGCTGTCAAAGGGGAACTGCACGTTGACGTGGTCGTTCAAAGCAATAACATAAATAAATAAAATAAAATATATACGTTCCTCTTACTCGTGACATGTTTTGTTACCTTTCCGTTTACGTGTATTTTTTGAAATGTATATATATACAAATAAAAATTTAGGTTTTTCTCTTGCTTATTTATTTTTTCTGTTGATAAACTTTTTAAAGACAGCAATTTATAGTCGCTTGATGCTGACAAGCTGCCTGTTGCCAGTTCTACGTGTTTCGTATAGACAACCGATATTGACTCCAAATCAAAATGCATTTTTACCTCATGTCAAGTTTTATAAATTCACAACTCTGCTACCACTATATAAATCTCATTTCCTTGTCGCCCCAAGAGACATGAACATAGTGAAACTGCTTCACTTTATTAAAGATATATTCATTTGCCTGTTAAATACATTTTCATTACTTTATTATACAAATTGTATCCATTTATTACCTGGTTTACGTTATGAGTCATAAATGAAACTAGCAAAACATGTCAAAGATAACTAAATACACTGTTTAACCATTAAAACCTACTGGCCATAATGTATTATATTATACTATAAAAGTTAGACACCTGAAAGCATATGTGTTATAATATTGAGCTTTCACATCGATTTTTGGGGTGGAATTTAACACATTAGTTTAGTAACATATATAATATTGTTATATATTCCTTAAATGGAGTGGAATCAATCATGTAATTCTCCTCTATTTCTCTCTGCTCTGATTGATTGCAAATACAAATATTTAAAATTAAAAACAAAATACAAAAACTTTAAGGTGATCGATCTGTCAATTACAACAGGACTACTTTGAGCCCTGCGTCGAGTAATGTCATTTAAAGCTGTCTGTATTTGCATCACCCCAACAAGCATATGTGAGATTGTTGTGTGTACTGTGTGTGTTGTGTGTGTCTTGTGTGTATAGTGTATGATGTTTTGGGGTCGTCATCACCCTGCCCCCAGTATTCAGTTCATGTCTGCTGGAACTGTATTTGTTTTGTTCGTGGCCCTTGGTAATGGCACTTGTAGGGTATCAAAGGTCGGTTGCACGTTTGCCAAGCGCTAACTGCAATTCATGACCACTGGCCAATGACAAAGTCGTCGTCATCGTCGTCGCCGTCTTCGACTATAGTGCAACACAGTAATGTCAAAGAGGGATGGTGTAGAGAACGAGGCTGACTGCTCACGGCTAAAGTTATTTGATATACGTTAAACGCATTTTAAATTGAATTTACAAAGGGTAAGCGCATACCCACCCAACGGAGTCACCAGAAAGAGGCACTTCTTTGCTCAGATCCTTTACACTTTGGGCCCATTCATAAATTGGTGAAGCGTACGCGTCGCGATTGCGACCTCACAACCCTTAGTACCAGTTGTAGGAGTCACATTTTCTCGTTTTCGCGAACAATGGAAAACGTGACAGTGACGATGATGGTGATGTTCTTGGAGTTTACAGTTTGGGATGGCGTTGGTGCTGGTGCTGGTGCTGGTGTTATGGTGACTATGCCTTTGCCTTTGCCTTTGCCTGTGGCTGTGGCTTTGACTGGTCGGGACTTGCTCAATTGCAAGAGTGACAAATTTGATTAAATTATAGCGCTATTGCAAAGCGTTTTATCTTTCGCTGGCGCAGTTGCACTCTGCCATAGTGCGACACGTACAAAGAGCCACTCAATTAATTGTTTTTGCTGTTGCTTTTGCCCTTTTCGCTGCCATTGTGCACACTCATACTACACACACTCATACTGCACACACACACACACTAACACACACACACTCACAGACACACACACAGCCATCACTCTTGCACACATACACATACACATACGCATACGTGCCTTACATGGATGACATCTTCGTCGTCGTCATCCCCCCATTGTCGAGTTAGTGGCAGTCAGCGTTCAGCTCGTTTTGACATTATAAGTAAATTGTATAACGTGGCGTATGAGTAATCTGATATGCATGCTTCGATTCCGCACCGGGGAGCGCCATGCTCGTTGAAGATGATGTGGTAATCAGTTTTGATTTTATTAGCACACCAAGCGTCAAAAAGTGCGGTAAATTTCTTGTATCTCTTACATGAGTTGCGACAAGTAAGTCGTTCCGGATGAGTTTTGTCATGTCATGCAGCACAGTGTCTCTCTCGGGTGTAATGCTTATTTCATTAGTGTGAGAGTGTTGCAAATTGGCCATGATTGTTAACCGTATTAGTAAATTTCTTTGACTTGGTTATTAATTTAATAGACGCTCTTAGCTTAATTTGCATAATCTGAGATTATGTATTATTACAAATAAGAGAAAAATAAACCTAAGTCAATTTATGAATCATTTCATTGAATAATATTCCAGCAAATAAATCAATACACAGAAAAACGTTTCCAAATTCAAATAACTTAGTTAATCTTGTTATTAAAATCGAAGACGAAACATTGCTAGAAATAGCTGAAATTATATCTAATAGAATCCAAAAAACAAGTCATACATCATTAAACATTAAGCCAGACGTTAGCAATAGCATTTAGCTGCCCTGTCCCATCTGATTCTTAATTGGGAAAAACAACAAGAGCCCCCTTGTGTCACAAGTAAGGGTTAATTTATGGGTATTTTGACGAGGAATTAAATTGTACCACAGAAGCCACAAAATTATTTTAAATTTTGCGTAATATTTTACAACAAACAGCATGGTCGACGCCTTGCCGGAGGGTAAGACAGACAAATGACAGTGGGCAAGGTGTGGCATTTGGGTTTTTGGATGCCAGATATCCTTGTTGATAAATGAAATGTACCGCAAAACATTTGAAAAGCAAACCGACAACACTTTCCACTTTACTGCTAATTCAAAGTTCAAGCTTCTAGCCACAAGAAAATGGTGAGAAGTGGCTAGTCATGAAAGCTCCGACTGCTTGCTGTTTTGCAACACTGTTGGCATGGTCCTCCTGCCAGCCTGTTCTCCGAACGTATATCCGTCCGATCATCTGACTGTCCTTTGTTTGCCTGTATTCGGCAGAAGCTACTTTATAGCAACCGTTGCTATCTCTTGTTGCCATGATTTTCGTTTTCATTTTTTTGGTTGGCTTTTAATTTTTTATTCCAGTCTTTTTTTTTTGTTTTGTTTTGGAAAGAGGTAATTTTTCTTAATTACCTCAAAATGTTTACAATGTTGCTCGTATTTTGGCCTTGCCCTTTTGGATGCCCAGATAAGGACCGCATCAGAGCGGTAGTTAAAAGTCTCCGTAGATTGTACCCTTGTGTAAAGGTGTAAAATATTTTTCGACATGGCCCAGACAAAAAACAAAACAGAACTTTACATTTTGCGAACATTGTTGTTTGTGTTTTTAAGCAGCTTTCCTGTGGTCGGCTGGGGTGTGTTTTTTCTCACAACAACACAGCGAACTCTGCGGAAAAGTAAAAGTATTGCATACTTACCGGCGGTGACAACACTTGCGACAATGTGTGCGTGTGAGTGTGTGTGTGTGTATGAGTGCTAGTCTGTATATGTACCTAAACACCTGGCCACACAGAGCCCAAAGCCAAAGAACATTTTTTCAACTTAGTGCAAGGTAAGCAACAGTCTTCAAACTATTCTCTGGTGTGGGGGTCACTCTAAATAAAATATGCATACATACATATATGCGTATAAGCATTTGGCCCCTCTCTGAATGTTAGTATACATATATATTTAGGCATTTGTTGTATATATATATATGGTTTGTATAAGTGTGTGTTGATAAAAAATTGCTTGCACGCAACGTGACAACTTTTGGTCAACACTACAAACAAAGTTGGTTATGCTGAGAAACTTTTTAGTACTGATAAGCAGTCTGCTTAGCGTATAAGCCATAGTAGATGCAAACATCTAGATCAAAGTTGCTTTTTGAGCTCTGCCAAACTTTTTGTATGCGTGTCGACGGCTATATACTTATATAGTATTTATATCTGGTAGAATAGTATGTATAAATAGTTTGTTGTTCAGTTGTTGCCTGTTTGCTTAGGGGCTTATTTTACGACTTAAGCTGTGGTTTCACAACATAATTTTGTCGCGGGAAAAGAGTTAAGACTTTATTATCAGAGTACCAAAGAAAATAAGAAGCTTTTCCCTGTTTGAATTTAGGTAAGAGAGACTTCTACAAAGTATGAGTAAGCCTGTGGTATTAAAAGCATTGTAAATATATTCACATATATTAGTAAATATGTAAATTTACTTAAATTTTACTTACGTTATAGTATATTGTAATTTGATCGATTTTTATCAGATTAAAAGTAAATGCTATTAAAAAATTTAAGATTTCCTATTGCATAATGAAAACTATGCTCAACTTTGTTCAAGGCCAGTAACAAATATTTAAGAAAAAGTTGATATCAAAATTTAAAGTTTCTTTGCATAGAAAATCAGAAGCAGATATGGTATATATATACATATATAAAGATATGTTTTTCTCAACCAAAATTCACCACACTCTGCTGGAAAATAATATAAAATGCATTTGTTAATAAAAAGGACCACAGCATGTGAATGCGTCCTAAGCAAGTATTCATAATTTATCCGAAATTGCGTATGAATACTTGAAAGTAGTACAAACGCAAGTTGATAGCTGTTTGTTATGTGTATTGTCGCTTGTTTATTTTGCTCGCTCATTTCGCAGTGCAAAGCTGCAAAACTTTTATGCACTTTTCATAATTCGCTTCAAGCACAAATGCGCAATAATTCCAACAACAGCAACCAGACAAACAACGATGCACGAATACGACAAACAATAAAACGCAAGTACGCATGGAAGACACCAAACAACAGTCACAACAATGTCTTACAATTCTGCACACTAGAAAACTACAAAACAATAAAATACAAAAAAAAAAAAAAAAGTGGTCCGTTAAAAGCGCAGACCAAAAAAGTCAACGATGTCAACCGAGCAACAGCAACAACAATAAAAACAACAACAAATAGCGACATTGACTTTACATTTCCGCCCCTTTTGCCTGGTAGCTTCCGCCGCTGTCATTGTTACCGATGCGAAGGAGTCGTTGTTGTAGCAACATTCATGATGCATCCTCCATATGTGGCACGCATTTCTTGCGACAACAGCAGCCGCGTCATTTTCTATTTACACATACACATAAACTCAACTTGCGAGCGCACAACTGAAAGATATCCTGAAGTAAAGACCATATACACTATATTCAAAGATATTCAAAGCAACATGTTGAAAAAAAAATTACCATATAAATTAGGAAAATATTTATGTTATCGGATTTATCGATAATTCCTACTGCCTGTAACAAACTTTGACACAATTTCATTATACCCATTTTTTTTTACCCATTCTCGCTGGGTTCAAAAAAATATATGAAAAAAATAACCCCAAGCAGTCCAATGCAGACGACAGACGCCCCCATGTATAGGTCCTCATGCATAAAGTGACTTACGGCTTTCGCATACATACACACATACAAACACATACACTCATATACAGACACATTTATAGACACATATACAGACACATACATGAATGTGCTAACTGCAGTTGGAAGTCGGCAACAACTTAAAAGCCAGTCAGCTCAAAAATGGCAACAACTGACGTCTGACGCCTGTCGACATCAAAAAACCCTGCAGTTAACGCGCTGACGAAGTTGTAGAAGTTGCAGTTACATCGCCGCAGATGTGGCAACAAGACTGGAGCGCGAGGCTCAGTTCGTGCGGTTAGAAATTAGATTTACTAGTCTTCCAACATACCGCCAGCGGGCGAAAGACCATTCAAAGCCTTTTAAAAAGTGGCAACTTTTTGAAAAGTAAAACAAATGCTGTTAGCTGTTAGTTCTCTCTCTATCTCACACTTTCTCTATCTCTCTCTATCTCTCTCTCTATCTCTCGCTTTCTCTCTCTCTCTCTTGGTGTCTCAGTCTCTATCTTTCATGCTTGTAAGGCTAGTTGTACTATTAAATTTGCTCCTGGGACTGTCGCCATGCTTGTTCTAAAATGTAGACATAAAGTGCAACTATTTGTTTTTGTTGTTCTTTGCGCCAACTTGGTTAGACATGGGTCTGCAGCAAAGGTAATCAATAGAAAATTCACTTTCCAATATATTTCTCAACGACTTAATCACTTGGAAAGGTTGCGCATGTGTTTGCACATCGATGTTAAAAGTTACCAAATATTTATACGTAACAGAACAAAGTTCAAAGCAGTTGAAATTGTGTCACTCCTGGGACTTCATTATTGAACTTTGATATCTTGAAGCTATCCCTGTCGACCAATTAAGTGTGAAATTTATCCAGAGCAATCCAAATCGAATTATGATTTCAACTAGCTGTTTTTAAATGATACCCTCGCAAAAGTATAAGCTTTACAATTACAATAAACTCAGTCAGCCGGAAAGAGTTTTTGCTCTTTTAAAATAATGTCCAAGTTTTCGAAATAAATTTCTTAAAGCTAGAAAAGCTTGAGCTTAACTTATTTTATTTTTGGTTGTTCAGAAATTTTATTCAACATACTCTAATATATATATATTTTTTGATGGAAACTCTGATAACTCCATCGAAAATATGTTGAGCCACTTACGCTGTCAAAACTATTTGGACTTTTTTTAAAACTAGGGTATTGGGGGCACTCCTGCTGCCATGCTGCTTATATTCAAAGTTGGCTCTAGAATCTTGAGTTTGGGCTCTTGGGTTAACTCAATTTAACGAAAATGTGGCACACATAGCCAAGGATCGGCGAAGAGGTAAGTGCATTTAGTAGCACGGCAGTGTGAAGTCATGCCAACCGCGACCGAGCAAACTCAGTAAACAGGAGCTAAATGGGTGCACGATGCGGCTGCAACTATCAGGTGCTAATGAGCTACAGTTGCAGCAGCAGGGGATGCATATAAAGAGCAGGTTGCCAATATACTACAACATACTTGTATTATACAGTTGGAAAACTTTCTACTGCGCTTGTTTGTAGACTCGATGCCAATGTCGCCGATGTCGCCGATGTTGCACGCAGCCAGCACTTAAGGGCTTTGTGTCAGACTCATGCAACGCTGCCAAAATTGCCAACGCTACGCGTTTGCTCTTGATATTTTTGACAAGTTCGTTTGACACTTTTGTTGTCATCGCCGTTGCAGTTGCAGTTGCTGTTGCTGTTGCTATTGCTTTTGCTGTTGCGGTACCTATTGCTAAGCTTTAGTTTGTTGTTGCAGGAAGCCGACATGCGTCGCTGCATTATTTTCATTTCTGTTTTAATTAAAATTTCACGTGTCAACACTTTTTTGGTGGTGTTCGTTGGGTGGATCGCATAGTCTCAATACACAGCTTCAATAGCTGTTCCATTTCCTTAATCAAACAAAGTTCAACTTCAACCCGACAGCAACCCATATGGTTCCAAATATTTTTGGCACTCGTTTTGCTGCGTATCATTCATCATTGAGAGCTGTTCAAAATGCAGCACTCTGCTCATTCAGGCACATCTTTTGTTAGAAAATTTAATATTTTTTAAATTTTATAATATTTGGAAAAGTTTTGGTTCTCAAATAAATCGAAGTTTAGCTTAGGTAAATTCTTGATTGATGCAAATTTAAAGGCTGATTCGAAGAACATAAAACAAGATGCAAAGGTACACACTTTATATATATTTATAGCTTATACCAATCATCTGCTACTTAATATAATTTTCAAATATACCGAACAAAAAAACAAGTCTTTGAGCCATACACCCTGACATCAAACCTGTATTTAGTATTGAGAGTGCTTAATTTGCGTAGGCCTAAGAAAAATCTAAGCAATTATTCATCAATAAAAAGTTGTAATTCAACACTCTTCGCAATTATTAATGATTAATCGCTTATACGTCAATTGGCCAGCTTGTTTCTTAACAGAAAACAAAAACTAGGAAGTAATGAACTGAATTTGTGTATCCCAAAAATATCTTAAATTTGTTTTTCTTAATATCAGTTTAATTAATGTTTAGATACTGTTTGCAAAATGAAAAGTGGGAATATTGCGTTTGTGTACTACTTACATAACAATTTTATTCAAGACAATCAAAATAAATATCTAATTTATATGCGATATATATATATATAGGGAGAAACATGTGAAATGTGTTTACATATTAAAAACAGTGTATCTAACAGTTGAGTTGTACATTTGTCTTCTTGTCAAAGAAAACCCCGTCTTAGGTCAACGCTCAATTCAATGTTGGCAACCTGAAATCAACTAAACTCGTATTTATTTAACAAAGGTTTTCTGTTTGCGTCATTTCAAAAATAGCAAGACAATTTGAATCATAACTTTGTGTTTCTTCTATAACTTAGTGATTTATTGCAATGATGCATCAACTGGTGCAACAAAAAGTCCATCTCGCAGTGGTCCAATCTGTTATACCAATAATTGTGAACAAAATGAATGTAAATATGCGCAAATTCCCCGACGACTGAGTTCATTCTGTGCTGAAAGGAAGCAAGAGTTGGGCACAATGTAAAAATATGGACTGGGAATTGCCCAAGAAAAGTTCGCTTCTGCTACAGCAAAAAACTGATTTATAAATAAACTTCTACGAAATTGTAAGCTGACATCAACAAACAGAGAAGAAATCCATGCTTACAAAATGGCCAACATAAGTCAAAAGTGCTGCCGCGACAAACCAATGGCCTGGAAGCCAACAGGGACACCAGAAACCACAATAGATTTCTCCAAACAGAAGTGAAAATCACCATAATGTTTTTACGCTGCTTGAAAGCAAAATAATAAGGCATTTAAATATAAAAGCAAAAGTAAAGTACGTAAAGATGTAGCAGAAGAATTCCATACCAGCGGGGGGATTAAAATACTGGAATACTATAAGAATATTCAAGACAGTTGAGACGGATTATTGTAAGGGATTCGTTCTTTAATATCATAAAATCTTCTTTTAATTGGTATTTTTTATAGTCTCTCCAGTTGGAATTTAAGAAACTGCATTTTGTGAGCATTACACTCAAAATGCTCTTTTCAATCTGGGAACAGAGTCAACAACTGTAGTCAACACTTTAAACGATCGTTTATCAACGTTTACGTTTTTTGGTTGTAAAATATAATTTTCGGAGCATCAAACAGCTGTCAATCATAAAATTCATACCCAATAAACAATAAAAATTAAAATGAACCGCATAGTAAAAAAGCACCAGCCATAGTCAGTTTTAATTTTCAAATTTCAGACATAAAATACAAAGAGCAATTGTCTGTTTTTTTGGAAGAAAAAAACGAAAATATTTTCTCATCTCTACCTCATCATCTGGTCTACCGAAGATGAGAAGGGGTACGAGTGGTGGTGTTTGGTAACGGTAAAAGTGCTCAGTCAAATCAGTTGTTGGCACGAATAGTGCAATACGAAATCTAAGAAATAAAAACTTTTGACGCCGCCGCAGCAACTAACGCAGAATCGACAAGTTTTGCCACGTTGGCTTAACTTCTGCCACAAACATTTTAGTTCCGGCTTTTGATGGCTTGCAGTTTGTGTTGCCAATATGTATTTGTTGGCTGCCTGGTTTTTGGCTGGCTCCTTTGCTCAACTTTAACTTTTTTGCTCTACATCTATGAAAGTTGTCTGTATGGTGTTGCTTATTTGATTTCGTACAGCTTTTGTTGCAAAACAATCAACGGACGGAGCAGACGGCAGCAACATGTACGCCGCAACGCCAGGCCAAGGCAATAATAGAGCACAACATATTGCCATCAATTATTTGACTAGAAGGTACCCTATTTTTAGCTTTATGTTGCACTTAAATACTTGTGGATTTTTTTGCAATCACAGTGATGATTAAATTACTTTTGTATATAAAAGATACATATACTCCGTTTATTGAGTCATTACCAAAAATGCTCTCAGAATATATACATAGAAAGAAAGAATATTACATCTGCAGGCATCCTCAAAATAATACCCTGTTCATCGCCTAATAACATTTAAAAATGCTTAAAACCTTTGGGGAGATCAAAACTCGCTTATAACTCGTTCAGCCTTCAAATTGCGGAAAGTATATAATTTAATTTAAAAAAAAAACCGTAATAAATAAACTTTTTGCCCCTTCTGGCAGCAGCACCTGAACATTTTCGTGTGATAAAATGGGAAATTAATTTTTATATTTTCAATGGCTATAATTGTACGAAGGCCGTAAGTCAACGTGAACTTACTTGTACATAAGTACATAGTGTATATATATAGGGTGATTCGCTGCCTTTCATGCATTTAATGTTAAGTGGCTATAATGAGCACACAAAAAATTACGCTTTGAAAAGCCACACGGCCAACTGAACTTTGCCGAGCGATAAGGACTTTGCGTTAAGCCAGGCAGCTGAAGGACGTTGGTTATACTGCATGGCGGACTGGCTGGGTGGAGATTAAGTCGAGACGTGAAAGCATATACAACAAAAATTTGTGGCCAGTAGTGATGTGTCTATGAGTGAATGCCTGCCGCCTCTTATTTGTTTATGCAAAATGGACCAAGAAGTTAAATTGGTTTTGCGTTTGATAACTTTGCTGACTGCCCTGTCTGTTTCGCTCTGGTTAACCTGTCTAAGTGCTATATCGTTTCTATGCATATGTGTGTGTCTAGTCATGTATAATTGAAAAATTTGATATACACAAGTCTGAAATGTGACAGCGACATTAATATAGGCTCAAATGCTGATTATGCATAGCCGTCACACTTCATTCCGCCAAACTGCCCCAACACAAATGCCAAATGTAAGCGGGTGGGTGTGTTTTCATGTGTTTGTGTGTGTGTGTTCATGTGTGTGTGTGTGTGTTAGCCAACCCGTATGAGAAGTTTATCAGATCCACATACGAAATTGTGGGCGTCTTTGTATTCCTATTTGGCTTGACAGGCGCTTCTTTCTTTTTTGTAGTCTCCTTGACATACATATTCAAGTTAGATGGCGATAGCTGTTTTTGATATTAAGCAAATTATGGTTGTGGTAAGTAGACACCAAACATTGCCGTCTACTCCAGATACGCAAAAAGTATCTATCACTTGTGAATATAGGCAATCGTGTTCTGAAAGGTCGGATTGACGGCCAATTAGTGTGTCAAGAAAAATATACTTTGTTAACTATTAATTTGTATGCCGGCTATATTGTGTTCCACGTGAAAGTGACCGATAAGTAGATACCCAGCAACTAAGTCTTAAATTAGAATAGTATCAGAAGAATTAACACAACAATCTGTAAGATAAAAGATACATCATTAATAATATTTGGTTTGTATCACCTCTTAAATCAGCGCTTATGCATAAGAATATATAAAATTTCTTGGCATATCTGCCGATACTCTTTACATACATTTTTATAGATGTATGCTATACAATTAAAAATGGTGTTCCAAGCAAATTCAACCTTTAACAAAAATCCATTAGTAAAGCCCCCCACCAAAAAGCAGAAGCTTATTAAACATGATTTTGCCGAGAATACACTTTGATCTCTTCAAAAACACTCGCCAATGTCGCGGCACAAACAAAAAGACGATCCGAGAGACAAATCGAGTTGAGTGTATGAATGTGGTATGAATGTGTATACTTGTTATTACTGTCAGTCAATCAGATACGTATTTAAAACCGGTTCGCAGTTCTATGAGCTCAGGCCGACCAAACAAACAATCCAATATACTAAAAAAAATAATGAAAAATATTACTATGCAAACGTATAATTAGCAAAGCGAGATGCAATTAAACTTCCAGTCATTAGGTACTCTCCAAATAAAGTTAATTAGAAGATTGCGCACAAGCAAAATCTGGAATTCGTATATTATTGTTGAAAGTATCGTACAATTATATTCATCGATTATATTAAATTGTACATTTATGAATAATTGAATGAAGACCGGCACCATCTAAACTTTTGTTTGTATGCCATTCAACCATTTTAGGTGCTAACTTACAGCCATATAATATAGAAATTTGCCAACAGCATATATATATATATACTCGTATATATATATTTAGAACAACATAACTTTGTAAATGCGGAACATGAACGCCCCAAATGTTGGCTAGCAAACAGACAGGAGGCCATGTGGTCTGTCAAGGGGTCACACAGCAACATAGTTTAGGAAAATTAAGCGAAGCACTTCTCTGACATTTACTCTGTCTACCAATATCTCCCTCTCGCTCTTAATCTATCTACTTTATCTCTCTCTCTCTATCTTTCTGCCTCTCTCTTGTGGTCTGTTCATGGTGTCAACGCACCGCAGTAGTTTACAAATTGCATTAACATATCACTTGTAGGTGAACACAGGCCAGAGGCAAACTACTTAGCAGCACAACAAGTACAACAATAAACACAATAACAACATCAACACATAAGCACTTGATTGCAAGCTATTAACAGTATTAAAGATGAGCAATTTAAATAATTCCCGTATGAATTAAAGGACATCTCTTAACAGAAATATGCCCACAATACGTATACGTAATATATGTGTGTGTATGTGTGTGTGTGTGTGTTGTGTGTGTGTGTGTGTGTTGTGTGTGTGTGTGTGTGTGTATGGGCGACAACATAGAATGTACATCCTGCTTGTTGCCGTTGCAAAATGAAGTTAAACTGTCATTTGGAGATAAACAGCTTTGGGGCTGAATGCATGAAGCTGGCAACAACACGAGCTAAGCATATAAATTCCTAATACGCAGCAGCGTCTACGCTTGTCTACATACATCTACGTAAAAACATACATACATGTGTGTACACGCAAAATAAAATTTATATTACAATTTAAAATATCGCAATAAAATTCCAAACAAGCTGAAAGCCAGGAATTATTTTCTTAATTGTAAGCAATAATGTCTCAAATATTTAGAAATATATTTACAATGGAAAAATATTTCATATTTTACTCATTTTCAGACATTTTATTTTCATTTTGAAGAATATATATTATTAAATATATATTTATATTTTTAAAAAAATTATTTATTTTAATTACTGATGAGTCACGACTTAAGGCAAAATATTATTTCCACGTTTTGGTTTTTAAAAACCATTAAATAATTATTTTTCAGAAGATAAGTTAAGCTGTCCTTGACACCAAACATGCATATGCCAATTATCTAAGATCTAGGGCATAATTTTTTCTGAGTGTGCACACATATGTATATATGTATTTACGTCAACATTGTGGGTTGCACTTATTTGTTTGTATAAAATTGCATTTGTTTATCTATACGTGTATGTGCATACTGCAATTCATATACATACATATATACATACATTGTGAGTGTAAATTCACAAAGACGTGCTAAAATAGGTTTCACTGTATTTCTGTTATCAGAAGCCAAATCTTTGCCTTATACCAAATTGAACAGATTTCCAATCAGCTAGCAACGATTATTCGTTGAAATTATGAAAATATAAACGCAGCAGTAGTCGACAATTAAGCTTTGTCAGTCGCAGCCTTGTCAGTTGTCATAACCGGCTCCAAGATCTTTGTTTGGCTTCACTTTCGTAAACATCCCAAAATTAATGTACACAAATAAATATTGTTGTGTATATACATATATAGCTATTCAGATATTACACTCGGAAAAAAATGTCCCCAATTCCAACTCATTTAACTTGAAAATCGTACATAGTAATATCAAATGTAAATCAACTTACTATTTTCTGAATTTCAAAACACATTCTTACTAAGAAATTAATGTTTGCATTTTCACTTTATAGAAATATTTTCAATTAATTATAAATATGAAAAAAACCATTCCAATTCAAAAATTTTTAAAATCGAGAAAATTTTGCTTGTTTTCACGATGATTTTTGATTTGAAAGCGATTTAATTAATTTAAGCACGTATTTTTTGCCTGAGTGTAGTAAGTCTATAACACTTGGCGCTTTTGCAGTCAACTTGAAGCTCCGCTGTTCACTCTACCGTCGATTTGTCCATTGTAAACAGCTGTTTTGAGATGTGAATTATTAAGTGCTTTCAGCCGACTAACGACTCGAGTATTTTTGCTCGACTCGCCAGATGACTGACGGGCCTGAAAATGAATAGCATTCACCATAGCATTGGCTTTGCTTTGCTTTGCTGTGGCTTTGCTTGGCTCATTCACCAACTGGTTTGCTGCTGTGCTGCATGCGCTTGACCTTGTATCTGTTTAAAGTTCTACATCACGTGCAAGGTACGTTGGGGT